ACCCTAAACCTACCCTAACAGTCTACTCTGAGAGTTAGTAGACATGTAGTTGCAAATTAATGAGAATTAGTTGACATGTAGTTACAAAATCACTTATAGTTAGTAGAATGTCTAAAGTGGACTATCGAAATAAAGTGTAACTGTTATACCTGATGCATCCACAGATGTCTGGACACTACAATCACTTCTGGTAACACTTTACACTACAGCAACCATGTTACTGTCTTTAAATGGTGCAAAATGTAAAGTATACTCACTTTACTGTTTTAAATCCCTTTCTTAGTTTCTCCCAAAAAAAAAAGTTGTTGATGGACGTTCACTCCAGCTTTTGCTTTCTTAAGTAAGCCTGGTAAGAAACTTTAAGAATCATTCTTCAAGAGTCAATGCTTTTCTAACAGATAAATAAAACCTGTAATCACAGTCTTGAAAGTTGTAAAATCCTGAAATCAATTGGCGCCGTGGTGGAGGGAGTCAACCTTCACCTAATCTTCTGAGATCATCAGAGTTTTCAAAAAACGACTGAAGACACACCTCTTCCACATGCCCTTTACCACAATCAAACAAAGAAACTTACTATAACTCCTATTTATTTAAAAAAACTTTCACTTCTGCTTGTGCACAAATCAGTTTTTAAAAATGAATTGTTGATCTCTATAATTGCATTTCATTAGTCAAGATCTAAGGAAGAACACTGTCATGACATTCATAATTCATGTTCAGTGTTTTTTGTGTTCATTTGTAAGCTGTATCCATACAGCCATTAATCAGCCAGGATTTCAATTGCTGGAAACCTGCATATTAAAAATAAAATATAGCTTTTGCATCTGAGTGTTAATTCTCATGTTGTACAAGCGCCATCTGCTGGACAGAGAGCCATCCAACAACATCAGGTCATTAGTCACAGATCAGGGCTGTTCAATCCTTCTCCTGGAAGTCCACTGTCCTGTAAAATGGAATTTCTTATCTGGAGACCCTGATTAACTGGTTCAGGTGTGTCTAATTAGGGTCAGTGTCTCCAAGCAAGAGTATGGACAGCCCTGCTGTAGATGCTGAATGAACTACAACAAACCTTTACAAAGTCACAGGTGTATTCATGTTTTTTGGAGATACACTGTCACAGCACAGACGGTTGTTGGGTTAGTTGGTTATTGGTTCCCCAAGTCTAAATTGGTGCAAATAGGAGTGCACTTCTGTATTGAGAAAAAATAATACACTCAATAAAATTATGGCAACAGATTACAATGTCACATGTTAAGTTTGTTTTGTAATAGGTTTCTTTGTGTTTCCTGTTTGGTTCCTGTTTTTCCTTATTTGGTCATGTTCCTGTGTTCATTAGTTCCCTTGCTCATTGTTTAATTATTAGTTTACCTGTATCACCTGTGTCTAGTTAATCAACCTTGTTTGTCTTGTATTTAAGCCCCAGTCTGTTAAGTCTTTGTTTGTCCGGTCACAGTTACTCAATGTCGTGTTTCCCATTGTCCTTCTGCCCTTTTGTTATTAAACTGAGAGTTTGGTTTTCACCAGCTCTCTCCTTCGCCTTCCTCCTGACAAAACCGTGACAGATGACCGGACCAAAACATATGATGACAAGGGCTGAGGACAAGCTGTGTGGGCTACGGCAAAGTGGTTGGACTTTGGAGGGATATGTGGAGGAATTCCTCGAGCTTTCCAACAGGGTGAGCTGGCACGACTCTGCACTTGGTGCCTGCTTTCTGTTGGGGCTGGATGATGAGACTATCCGCTGTGATCTCCCCGTGTATGATTTTCCTTTGATAGAGTTAATCTCTGATCTCAAGTCTCCTCATCCAGCCCCCTCAGGAGCACGCCGTGTCTCCACAGCTCACCCCACACCAGGAACCCCCACATACCACACCAATGGCTCCGCCCACTTGCCAAAGCCAGGGTGTCCCCGTATTCTCCAAAGCTCCACCGTAGTCTTCAGCCCAGGAGCGCCAGCCACTTGGAAGTCTAGACGGCCAGCCTCTCAGCAATCAAGCTCGCCGGCTGCTCGGAAGTCAAGACGCCCGGTCTTTCAGCATTCAAGCTTGCCGGCCGCTCTGAAAACAAGGCCACCGGCCGCTCCGAAGTTAAGCCAGCCGGCCGTTCCTCAGTCAAGCCCATCGGCCGCGGCATTCTCAAACCTGCCAGCCATGCCGTTGTTAAGCCAGCTGGTCGCCCCAGAGATCGCTCCAGTGTTGGCTCCTGTTCCTGAGTCTAGCCTACGGAGGGCACCTGTTCCCGAGTTTAGCCCAGTGAGGGCTCCTGATCCCCAGTTAAGCACAGGGAGGGTGGCCTCGGAGGCTGCTCTGCCATGGCCTTCTGAACTGTCTGCTCCGCCATGGCCTCCTGAGTTCCCTACTCCACCATGGCCCCCTGAACTGTCTGATCCGCCATGGCTCCCCAAGCTGCCTGCTCCGCCATGGCCTCCTGAACTGCCTGATCCGCCCTGGAGGCCTTCCTTGTCCCCGTCCTGCACCAGCCTCCAGGGCGCCCACCCCCCCTCCCCGGTGGAATTGTTACGGCGCGGGACGCGCCTTTCGGGAGGGGGGAGTAATGTCACATATTCATTTTGTTTTGTCATTGGTTTCTTTGTGTTTCCTGTTTGGTTCCTGTTTTTCCTTATTTGGTCATGTTCCTGTGTTCATTAGTTCCCTTGCTCATTGTTTAATTATTAGTTTACCTGTATCACCTGTGTCTAGTTAATCACCCTCATTTGTCTTGTATTTAAGCCCCAGTCTGTTCAGTCTTTGTTTGTCCGGTCACAGTTACTCAACGTTGTGTTTCCCATTGTCCTTCTGTCCTTTTGTTATTAAACTGAGAGTTTGGTTTGCACCAGCTGTCTCCTTCGCCTTCCTCCTGACCCAACTGTGACATGCAAGCAATGTTATTAATTAAATCCAGCAAATAGGAATTGAGTTGGAATGAATCAAATGAGCTCATTAAAAGTCAACCATTTAAAATGAGTAACTGCAAATAGCACGCAAAAAAATAAGTAAAATGTAAATGAAAATATTGAGTTCAATGGACAAACAAAAACTATGCTTATGAATACTACTTGAAATTATTTTGACAACACATAATTAAGTTAATATTATTAATAATATTTAGTGGATTATTTATGTGTTTTAATTAATTAAATTTTATTTCAGGTATGAATAACAGACAAAAGTCAAATATGAATTAAGAGCTCTTTATTTGTATTGCCAACAACAGTCACAATCCAACTTTATTGAATAACAAATATTAATCAGTTTTGAATAGTGAACAATTCAAAGTGGCAAAAAACATTTATATTGCATTTCTTTTTGGACTTTAAATTTAGCACAAAAACAGCTGTATGCGTTTGTTTGTGTGTGTACTGTATTCCTGTAAGGGTTCAGTCACTAGCTATGTTCCCATCCCTATTTTTATGCACATTTTGGGATATCTCGTAAAAAATGCTGGATGGAAGTGCCAAGATGTGCATAAATTCTAAAAGTGTACACAAAAAAAAACAAATGTGCTCAGTTGAGGTGGAAAATGTTTTTGTCCAATAAGAAGATATGCGCATAAACTATGATGGAAAAACATTTACCACATAAATCTATTGACGCGCAATACAAAACTCACATGATTTTGCCTCAACAGATAATGTGATTGGATTACTGGACTCATTGGAATCATCAAGGGTTTGGTTGTAACATTTTTAATTAACTGTTATAACTATCCCCACCCCAAGCAGCCTACTGTTTTGGCATGAAAGGGCTACTATAGGTTTTAATTGTATCTACTATGATTGCTAGGCAAAAAATTATTGTAATAAAAAAAAAATCTTTCTTTCCTGAAATTGCTCACAGTCACAAGCCTCTTCTCCTGTAAGCTCAAAAATGTGATGGGAGTGTAATGATGACGTCACCACAGCTCTTTTCTGACTTCAGCTCTTTCCCCGGGTCTCCCCTAATTTCACACAAACTGTCCAAAAAAATCTAGAAATTAATTTAGTTAAATAAAGTTTATATATTAAATTCGGTGAAATCTACAAACCCACAGAATGACATTGTACAGTGTACCAGCACGCATAAGAGTAATCAGTTGATCAAAACATTTTATTCAATAGAATTTATTAATAGCATTTAGCAACAACACAGGTATCTCAGTGGTTTATTTAAAATAACTCTCTTTGAAACTGCTCTGTGAATATCCATAAAACTGGATCGGGGATTTCTATAGCCTACACTCAGTCAGTGGTGAATTGAAGGCTTCATTCACAGCAGCTGTCTGAGACCAGTTATACATATTGACCCACTGATCATACTATACTATAGGTAAAACTAGACCGAATTCAAAAATACAAACACTGAAGTCTCAAAGCTATAACTTGCAGAAAACACTGTGATACCTACATAACGGCGAGCATGAATAATGAGACTAATCGTCAGTCACTTTTTTTAATCATATGCCTTGACAGGCATGCGAATAGTAATAGCCTAATAATAACCACTACCACAACCATCATCATCTCGCACGTAATGTGTTTTAATATTTCCATTATTAGTCCTCTGTTGATGGCCTCATCGGGTTTTGCGTTAAACATTGTCAATGCCCCATTCAAATTTTACTTCTTGGTGGTTTGTTTTTAATAAAGCACACATCTGCAGAATCTCCATGTAACTGGACTAATCTGTGTGGACTAATCTTGTTGTTGTTGTTGTTGATGATGACAAAAAGATTTAAAAGTTACATTTTTAGGCCAGTCAGCCTCAGCAGCGCTCGTCAGTATCAAAATGATTGAGATGACCCATCAAATCGAAGTAGGCGGGGTTTACTGTTCACTGAAGCGGAGTGTGAATTCCAGCGCGTAGCATCAGTTTTAACATTGAAAGAGAGCGAGAGAAGCTGATGAGAGTAGTGAAACATTTAAGTATATTGTTGATCACGGGGGTTAAATATAAGTGAAATATATTCTTGTATATTTTCAACTGCAACTTTTGCGTTCTCATAAGTAGCTACTGCGCCCATCTTTACAGCATCAGATACAGAATCAGCTTCTTTTGCTGCTTCCCATCCTGTAGCTCCTCCTGCAATGAATCCTGAAAGCCCTGCAACTACAAGAGTAACACCTGCAGCATATGTACCAATCCCTGCACCTCCTGTGACCCCTGCCTTTAGTGCAGCTGCTCCAATACCTGTCCCCGCTGCTGTTGCCACCTCTGAAGTGCTGGCTTCTTTAAGGCAGGTCAAAGCTATTGCAACACTACCAACAATGCCTGATAAAGCACCAGTTAGAGCCCCTATTGATGCACCTGCAAGTTTCATCATTAGATTATCATGCACAATCCTTTCTGCTCTCTCTCGCTGCTGGTTTGGAGACACTGTGTCTTCATTTGTATTCATCATCTCTCGAATCATCATCTCCTCCACAATTTGAAGTATCTCATTGTTGTAGCGGCCGTTCTCATGAACCATTTCATTTATGGTATCCAGCAGATTTTTAACCTGGATTCTGTTGCTTTTGTATCCACAACTACAGGGGCAATGGAGACATTTTCTCCAGTGTTTACTGTCAATGACGTGACAGCGACCTCCACATTTATCAACAAGCTCCTGTAGTTGTGGACTTTTCTGAACAAATTCTTCAATGGTTTGACCCTCTAGATCTTCGCCGTAAGTGAATAAAACCACTGCATGTTTAAAGGCGTCCTCTCCACAATACTTTCCTATTTCATTCACAATCTCTCTTTCGTGTCTTGTGTACCTTTCAACTTTTAGAACAATGACAAAGGCATCAACGCCTGCAGCGCAATTAATAATGGATCTAACGATCTCAGATTTGATGGTCTCATCATCACGATCTGTGTCAAGGACTCCAGGAGTGTCAATAACTGTGATCTTCTGTCCATAAACCTTCCTCTCTCCTCTTACAGATGTAACTGTTACGGAATTTGGTGAAGCATCTGGGGTGAAAATGGTTTTTCTAAGGATTGTGTTTCCAGTGCTGCTTTTTCCATCTCCGGTTTTCCCAAGTACGATCTTTCTGTCAGGTGAAGACACACTGGCTATTTAAAGAAGATGTTTGTTATTAGATACATATAATGAAAATCTTTATGTGTTTAATACATGCATTACGTTTGAAATTCTATTGCTACATCACTAGTTATTCAGCGACAATGTGAATGTTTTTCTCAAGCACTCTAGCAAAACTCTAGCATTGTAAATATTTGAAACTTTGATTCTCAAAGCATTGTTTTAACTTACCTCCCATTACCCTCGTCTATTAATGCTACTCTCTGCAATATAAATAGTAACAATACATATAACATTTGTCAAATCAGTTTGCAAATGATTCATATTTTAGTTCAATTTTAGGAGATAATAAAAAAGAAGAAAAACAACATAACAGAAAAATGTCCTTATTGAGCTGTTTTGCATGTTGTACCTCTATAAGCATGCGACCAGTTGAGTGATCTCTTTACCTGTTGCTCTTATTTCATTTATTAATTTACTTTTTCAAAGAGATATTTAAATTTTGTGTATTTTGATGAATATATGTGTGATCTTGGATTGTACTAAGCTTCATTGCTCTATTTTTCACATACACATTGATACACTGCTGTACAATGCCAGTGAAAAGTGTTTTCTAAACTGTACAGATGCATGTGCAATAACAGTTCAGACCAGAGTGTTTCCAAGTAGCAAACATGATGCAAGATCAGGGTTACCAGGTAACCAATACAAGCAATACAATTCATGTCAGAAGGTTTAGTAACACAGTGGTATTACTGAGAAGACTTTTTCATGAATATTGAGAACATTAGACAATAAACAAGATCAGGAAATGCTGGACAGGAGTAAATGAATTATGGCATCACATCAGAAAGAGCTGTAATTCGTAACTGATCAATTATTTGTGCTTCTTGAGTTTAAAAAAATTATATGCACTGACTAAACACGGTCAAGACCATGTCTGTATGTTTTCATAACTCCAAAAGGGCCTTTTATATATGTCCTTGTATATGTGTGTTTAAATATATTTAACGTATATAATTCGTTTATTTTATTTTTTAAATAAAATAATAATCTCTTTCCAAAAAAAAACAAAAAAGTTTTATAAGTAGACATCGGACAAGAACTTCATTGTTGTGAATCAAAAGTAAGTTCAAAAGTAACACTTACCTCCGCATGAATCAAGAATCAAGACAGAGGATGTTTAGAGGATGCTCACAGGCAGCAACATCAGGCTCCAGAGCCCTGACTTTCACTTTCTCTGCACTTTAATGTGGAGTTCTATTTAGTTTCATTCTCTTTGTTTTCCTTGTATTCCATAAACGGATTGGTGGATGCTGCTGCTTTAGGGACTCATTTGGCAGTCACGCTTGTGATCTTCACAGTCAAAAGTGACCCGACAGCTGAAATGTAATTTTTTTTCGCCCCAGTAAAATCAATGTAATATATTTTTGTTCAACAATATTTTTATTTTTTTTTGTTTTGTATTTTTTAGATAATTTCATGGCACTAATTAATATTTATGAAATAATTATGATACATTTCTGCCCATTGAAAATAATACAAATGTTTTAAAAATATATATTTTTATATTACTTTTCAATGAATGCAGTATTTCATGTTAAAATAGAGTCAATGCCTTTAAAATCCCATTTTTGAATGCTGAATTAGTGCCATCTGGTGGGAGTAAAATAAGAAAAACATCTGCAATTCCATGGTTTAGCCTATAGATCCCCCAGTAAAATCAATGTATCATATTTTTGTTCTATAATATTTTTTCTTTTGTATTTTGAGATAATTTCATGGAACTAATTAATATCTATGCAATAATTATGATAAATGTTTTTCCCATTGAAAATAATACAACATTTTTAAAAATATATATTTTTATATTACTTTTCAATGAATGCAGTATTTCATGTTAAAATAGAGTCAATGCCTTTAAAATCCCATTTTTGAATGCTGAATTAGTGCCATCTGGTGGGAGTAAAATAAGAAAAACATCTGCAATTCCATGGTTTAGCCTATAGATTCTTATATAGCTCTATATAAAAGGCCTATACATTCTCTAATTGTTTTTAGACATAAATACTTATTTTTATTAAGTTGGGTTTACTTTATTAAGTGGGTTTGGATTAGAGGTCTGCTACCCGACCCGAGCCCGACGGGTCCCAAAATACTTTCGGGTTTCGGGTCGGGTTCGGGTTAATAGCTAAACTAAAACTATATGAAGTAGCCTAGGCTACGCTGCTTTCATAGACGCACGCACACACATTATAGCACTGACTCGTGCACCCTCCAGGATCCTTTTTCATAGGATCAAACAGAGGATTTCTTCACTATCCGGGTCAGCCAGTGTATTGCAGAAGGTGTGGTGCTCAAGGGCACGTAAAGGCAGATTGTGCAGGCCAGCGGTGCCGTTTTTGTGGATCGATGGAGCACGTGGGGTAAATTCTCTGCAATGAGGGGGTAAAATCGCTGTTTTTGAAGTAACTAAGCCTCATTGCTTGTAGAGAGAGGCGCGGAGACGCAGGTTCACACATGCAACTTTCATCCCTCTCTCTCCCTCTCTCTCTCTCTCTCTCTCTCTCTCTCTCTTTTACTGACCGTTGCATGCAATCGTGAAATACAGCATTTTTTTTTTTTAATTGGTTATTCGTTGTGGGGAAAAAAAAAAAAGATTTCGGGTTCGGGTCGGGTTCGGGCTCTAAATTGAACTGTGCCTTGTACATACATATGGACAAATGTCCATATGTATGGACACATAATGTCGGGTCAGGTCGGGCTGGGTCAGACGATCTCGGGTACGGTTCGGGTTCGGGCTTCAGTTTAAAGCCTGTGCAGACCTCTAGTTTTTATATATATTTAGACATTCTCAAAGGCAACTTTTTGTAAAGGTTTCGATTTTTTTTGTTTGTTTGAAATGTTGATTTGAAGCGTCAGTTTTTTAATTCTTATTAATACAGTCAAACCTGAACACTGAGAAAGCGTTTTGTTACACAAAACATTCAAATTCTATAAAAATGTAACAAAACTCTACATTATGAACCTTAACCCAAAAACCTTTAGCTTCATACACTAGATAAGTGTGACCCTGCCTGTGGAAATTAGGGCTGGGTTTTGATACAAATTTCTCGATTCGATTCGATTCTCATTCACAAGCTTGCGATTCGATTCGATTCAATATCAATTATTTTGGATATATATCAGGTACAGTACATGCCAAATTTTCTAATGCTGTAAAATATACAGAGAGTCAGTTGGTACTACATTACTATAATATTGAAGGTTAAAAATTAACTGATTTGTATAAAACCACTTAAATTACACTCAATGAAGTTTTTATAATAATAAAGTTGCAATTACATAATATTTCTACTCCAATTCTTTTGTTTTATATAAACATTTAAATGGCAACTGCCATAAAAACTTGACGGAAAAATGTAACAAAAATGAACAGAAATGTTTTATCAGAGCTTAATCCTTCTGGGTTTGATCTGATTTCAACCTCTTATTTCAGTTTTCTGACTCGTTTTGGCTTATTTGGGTTATAGCCATTCCAATTCATTTGAGTGTGTATAATTGTGTATGTTTGTGTGTGTGTTTGTGAGTGTGTGTTCGAGTGAGTGTGTCTGTTTTGCACTCTTGATGTTTTAGAGTGTAACCCCTTTATTTCTGTCCATTTTTTACTGCACTGTAGTTGAATTATTGCTTTTATTTTACATATTTGCTGTGTTACAGTCACACCAGTTCATAGGTGTGTGTGTGTGTG